GCAAGATAAGATAAGATGTAAGGTAAGCAAGATAAGATAAGATAAGATGTAAGGTAAGCAAGATAAGATAAGATAAGATGTAAGGTAAGCAAGTGACAGACAAACAGCGATGAGTTTGTCAGCATACGTTGTGCAGGAATGTCGCGGCGATAGTTCAAATAATCATTCGAGCAAGTTTTCAGATAACAGAATGTGATTTGGGAACACAAATGCAGTTCTTTCTCTGTGTAAGAACAGTGTGAATAAATTGGCTCAACGAATCAAGTAAATTATGACTTCGTAAGTCCTAATTTACTTGATTCGTTTGATTGAGTCACTCTGTATTAAAATACAGAGTGACTCGCCACAAATATGTATATGCCGAAAAACTATTAACAGATCTCTGGAAAGGGAAACTTTTGGACTTTTTAAAATATTATTACCAGGTAAACCAAAAAAAGGATACGTCACAGGAGATGTGTTCCCTATGATCCAAAATATAGACAGATTGACAGAAAATGCTACCACTCCAGACAACAACACCATCACCTGCAAGAAAAATGCGTCTGTAAATTTAAGAGCTGCTAGGTACTGTTGAAGGAAATTAAATTAAAGCACAAAGAGTTACATAGTTTACATGCTATATTATCCTTTTATTTCGACTGTTAAAATATACCCTGTACATGATGACAGCCAAATCTTCTCACCTACCCTATAGAAAAACATTTATAGCTGTGGCTCTTCTATATTAGATAGTGACGTTAGGTAGCTGCTTTACGTGAAGCTAATTCCATTACTCTGCACTTTTATTTACTCCATCAACGTGGCAGTGTGATGTAGACACTTTCACATTCTCAACGCCAACTTACGACATCCGTAAATGACCACGGCTGGAAGAAGACGCCGTCGGCAGCCCACGGAGTCTCGAAGAAGGGCACGACAACGAGAAGGATGCCCGCCGACAGAGGAGCTTGATAATAGAGCAGCTGCATGGAGTTGACCTGAAATTCCTGCTGCTTCTCACCAACCCACTGAAGAGAGCAACAGAGACCGATATATATATTAGTGTTGGAGATCGGTCCAAATTTCATGATCGATCATCGGTTTTACAAAACGACCGATGATCGATTAATCATCGATCATTTTAGATTGCGGCGACGACGCGGTGACGCCGCGTCATCGTCGACACAACCGGTGTATTGCGAAGGAATATTGACATTATTGTATGTGTAGCTAGTATTTAATGGTAAGTAAATTAAGCATACTGTTAGGGTTACGGACGGGTAACACTCTAAAGGGCATTGCAACATAACTGCTCATCAAATTCAATAAAAAATAAATAAAAATAAAAAGTTCGATTTGTACTCGGTCATCCGATTTGCTACTCGACTAATCAACTCGGCAGCCCAAACGAGTAATGATCGACGAACTTGATTAATCGGAACACCACTAATATATATTATTATTATATATATAATATATATGCCAAACTGCTCTTACACAATAATGAATCAGTGTGCTACAAACAACAGCGAAGATGCAGAAAACCTCACAAAGATGACAATTTGTGATCGCACGCGTACCTTCACATGCAAGTATCTACAAACAAATTCACGATGAGATCATTGTTTGGAGAGACGTTTTAGCTACATTTAGATTTCTGTTAAATTATGACAGGTGGTGCAAGAAGTGGCATTACATATACTTACGACTTGGTACACAGATGTAACTAGGACACCCAGTGATGCATATGTGGTACCCAGCGTATTGAACTTCATATCATAGTATGAGTTCAAAAACACACCAATAGATATAGGTACCTGAAATATATAAAAAACCAGTTTATATCGTGAACAATGAGAACTGAATGTGTGAACAGTCTTTAACTTTAAGCTCTAAGTGTACATCTCCCAGGTAAGCTAATAATTAAACATGCCTTTGCAAGCAGGAAAAACAGGAATAGCCATTCACGCAACCAGTATAGCAGCATTCCCGTAGAATCAATGTTATTATTTCGTATACCGCTGTTTATACTGGTCCGTAGTCAACTTGACTCGCTGGCAAACTTGACCCGTGTCCTGGAGATCGGACAGCTTGACTCACCGGCTAACTCATGTGAGATTGAAAATTGAGATTGATCACGTGTGTGACAAAATTACACTCTACACATAATAAAAGATTATTCCCACAAAAATACCACACGCGTTTTGACGTCGGAATGTGTAAAACATCTTAAACTAGACCACTCGGAGAGCGCAGACCTCCGCCAAGGCAGCTCACTTAATTAAATAATTAATTGGATCCGGATCACCACCAAAATGTAATCAATTTTAAGTTACCCCATTTCTGACCTATCCTAAAAATTTAATTAATTAATTAATTGGATCCGGATCACCACCAAAATCTAATCAATTCTAAGTTAGCCCATTTCTGACCTATCCTGAAAATTTTAGGACAATCTGTCCATAACTTTTTCACTTAAGCTGTACACAAACAAACCCACAAACCAACAAATACACGCCGAACAAACACACGCCAGTGAAAACATAACCGCCTGCCAACCCCTTGGCGGAGGTAATGAGTTAGACCGCGAGTCGAGCTGTCCGAACTCCTAGCGGGTCATCTCGACCCATGAGCCTAGCTACAAGTTCTTTACGAGGAAATTAATAAATGACCACAATGAGTGTTTGCATTCTTGCCAAATAGAGCAAATTAAGTGACCTGAAGTCAGAAGTGTAGCCAGGATTGAGGCTGTAGAGTGTAGAAGATCAAAACGAGTAAAACTAAAATCTTTCTAAGCTATGACGATTTTGTGAAAGCAAACATTTTTATGCGGTAATAATACAAATATTTATGTCAGCTTTAAAACAATTACCAGCATTTGTATTCTATTATAATGCATAAGGCTAAGCTTAGCTAATTAAAACAATTAAACGTCTTGATTCTACATGGCAAGTGGTATTGCATGTCTATGTGTTATTGTTAGCCCAATTTACTATTAATATAATAAGAAAGCTATGATACAGTAGGCCCGTAGGGGTCTAATTAGCCACAAGTTCCCTTCTCGCTTAACACTACGTTGGCGATAGGACGTCCTACGACGTGTAACAGTCGGAGAGCCTGGTGGGTTTAGGGTCTAATCAGTATGACCAGACCATGAACATGACGGTATCTAATAATTAAATCTGTGACTAACACAGCCACATCCACAGCCACAATTCAAACTAGACAGAGGGCACTCACGGAGTGCATACCTTCGCCAGCGACATACGCCATACGCCCCATGTAACATGTATGTGTTACGAACTGGCTCGCCGCTCGCTGCTGGCTGCTGCGGACTGACTGGCCTGCTGCTGACTCGACGCGCTAATATCGATCGCACGAACACACTAAAGGCGGGCTTATGTCGGGCTTGCGAGCCGACTCGACAGGAAGCAACTGAATTTCGAGCAACTGGAAGCGATCAGCAACGACTAGTTGCGTCCAGTTGCCCACTGTTCTATTCCGAGCAACTAGTGGCGGCCAGTCGCGTCGCAGTCGACCGACCTAAGCACTGCAGTCGCAGCCAGTTGCTTCCAGTCGAGTCGGCTCGCAAGCCCGACATAAGCCCGCCTTAACACACGAACGGACTAACACACTACACGAGAGCGATCACATAACCTCCTCCACTCCGTGGGCGGAGGTAATAAGTCAGTAGCCTAACTGAGTAAGTGACAAACCAGAGTGAGCTTTATTTTTGTTGAGAAGCTCTTCAAGTAGTAGTAGGTCTGAATTACGATGATGGTCGGCGTAGTCATGCTCTTTATGATCTGATACGTTCCTACAGTGTTATGTTGCAGCGAGAGATTGTTGAAGACCACGAAACCACAGAAAGTTAGACAGAGGGGTATCATCTTCGCAATCGGTATCCTTTTAACTTGGAACATATTCAACGACTGGCAGATAACCAGCCCTAGAAAAGTCATGACGAAATGTACGCACGTTAGCGTCATGCTAGGAAAGCCGACGTGCACAAAAATCCATTTATTTAACAGCACGATCACTACAGAGCTAACTACATTTAATATAATGCAGCACAAGATATACACGTTGCTACCGCCTACCGCCATGATGTTGGATAGCAGACTGGGCTGGTCTCATCAGTTCGTTTACCCCGGAAGAGTGCTTGTGATTGGATATGAATGTAAACAGACGTGTTACCAGTCTATAATTTTATTACAGGTATAACAAGTGAGCATTCTACGTTAGCGTATCCAAGAGCAGGTAGATGCCAAAACGAAAACAACGCGATGAGAACTGTTCCTACTTGGGTTGACAAAGTTTCTGATAAGGATAAGGTTGAACAATGGTGAGTTTGTTGGTAATCGAACTATACGGTATACTAATGCTAATTTAAGGATTCACAAAGTTATACGCAGTACTACAGTCGCTCGACTCGAGTCACAAGACAAGGGTTTCTCACTGACTGAGTCAGTGCTGTATTACTATTATAAACACGATGGCCTTCTAATTAGTAATTGGCTTGATGACAAGATGTTGCAAACGTTTCCTTTTAATGTTGTGATGTTAGAGCACGGGCAGCAAGAAAGCTATGTGGTAGTGAATTATCTCAAGGCATCAAAACATGTCTCTCTGTAAATCCCTTTGATGATTGGATGACCATATGTGGCATATTCCATAACGTAATAATATTAATCATTAAGCGTCATAACTGTACTCGATCTACTGATATACGTGTAATTAGTTGAGAGTGACCAAGGTGGCTATGAAGGTCTTATTGTGCATTAACCCATGGTTTTAATTCAAGTACATTTTTTATTTTTTTTATTTGCAATTGTCTTTTACTTGCAGCATATATGACCTGTGTTTTCGACCAGATGGGAGTCAGCTAATCGTGGCTGCTGGTACACGCGTTCTCGTGTACGATACCAATGATGGAACACTTATTCAACCTCTAAAAGCACATAAGTATGATCTACTTCAGAACTATAGACCCTTTAGCTCACGTTGTTTTCTACCTGTTCGTAACTTTATGGTGTAAACTCTTTATTGGAAAGAAATATTGTCAGTATGTGGATTCAACGACCTAATTTTGATTAGAAAGAGAGGGGAGACAAAAAAGAGATAGAGTGAGAAAGACAAAACAAAATTAAATTTTAAACTGCAGTCTCAGGGCTGCCAACATTGGGTGATTGGCGAGAGTGAGATGCGAGGGAGCGAAGCGACCGAGTTGGGGGTGGGTGTGGGAGGGGGGTTCCCCCCCTGCCACGGTAGGGAGCTTTTGCATTTTATAACTTCAATTTGTGCAATTTGGTGCATACTAAAGTGACTGTTTTCAGATTAAATATTGTAAGATTTTTTTTGCTGTGCGTGAGATATTTCAGCGTTTTATTCATGAAGAGATATTCATGCGTGATATATCTCAGCATTTTTTTGCTGTGCGTGAGATATTGTAAGATCAGCATGAGAGCGTGAGATTTGGTCAAAAATGCGTGAGTCTCACGGTCAACAGTCTTCGACGTTAGGCGATGGACCGTGGTCCGAGACCACCAAAATCTCTCTCAGTCCAGTAAATTTAACAAGTTAAATGGACCGTCGGTCCACCAGTTTTTTTCAGCCACTCTAGTTACAGTATTTAAATAATTTATCAAAGTATTTATGAGACTACTTACTGT